AAGGAAACTTGTCATAGAGGCTCCCCATGTAGTGCCTGGAACAAGAAAACAGTGTGTGTTGAGTGGAGAACTGCTTGTGTGAAACACTTCTCTCCTCTGGGTTAAAAACTTAGTCTTTGCCACCAATCTGATGTTTGTTAACAAAGTTTGTAAATCAAGCAGAGGAAGAAAGTAGAGATTTGCTTCGTAAGAAATCTGCAATTACAAATGTGAAACAAAGCAAGGAATAAATGCTTGTCCAAAAATATATAAGTAGGAAAGACTGAGAAAATGTGGAAATGCCTTAACAATTAGCACTGGAGTTTCTCTTAGGATATTTATTCATTTTTAAAAAGTCATGATAAGTCACTTGGGAAAAGTTGAGAACCTAAAGACAATTGTCTGAAGACCTCAAGGTATAAAAGTTTTATAACTCTAATGGAATTACAACAAGAAAGTGGCAAACTACAAGCCAGGAAGAGAGGCCTCACCAGAAACCAACCTCGATGGCATCTTGATGTTGGACTTTCAGCATTTAGAACTGTAAGAAACACACCCTGTGGGGCCGCCACTGCGAGATCCAGCAGGTAGGCTTCACCGCCGCCACCTGGCTCCATTCCCAGCCCAGCCCAGTGCACACACAGCGGGGAGAGGTCTGGCTAGGGAGGCAGAGACTCGGCGGAAAACACAAACCCTGTGGGGCTGCCACTGCATGATCCAGCAGCAGGTAGGCTTCACTTCCACCACCCAGCCCCATCCCAAGCCGGGCCTAGCGCGCACAGAGCAGGGAGACATCTTGAAGGGGAAGGGGAAGCTCTGCAGAGACCACACACTCTGCGGTGCCTCGGTGCATCCCAGCAGCCTGGGCCAGAGCACAGGGAACAGGGAGAAGTCCTGCATGGGAAGTGGAAGCTCAGCAGAGACCACACACCCTGCGGTACCACCCCATGATCCAGCAGCCCAGCAGAGTCCAAGCTGATCACAGAGGTGGCTCCATGGAGAGGCCCAAGACCCGAGGCAACCACACACACAAGGCACTAGAGGCCAACTGAGCAGTCACGGAGGTAGCCATACCAAATTGGCAACCACACCAACATCTTAGTCAGTCAACAGTCTCAAACCAGTGGACTGTGAAACCCCCTGCCACAATGAATAAACATCAAAAAAAAGATACCAGAAATACAAAAAATCAAGAAAGTACAAAGTATACAGGACCTGAAAGAGGAAATGTACAAGGAAATCAATGTCCTGGAAAAAAAGTAGCAGAACTTGCCGAACTGTAGAAGTTATTCAGCTAAATAAAAAACACAATGGAGAGTTTAACCAGCAGGCTTGTGGAAGTGGAAGAGAGAACCTC